GTTGTATTCAGTGTCTACTAATTTAATTTAATTTTAAATGAGATTGTGATTTATTTATAGCTCTGGTTCTAAATATAACTAATGTTATGCCTGGAAAGAATTCTTGAAACTTATATTGTTTTTAGAAAGTTGAGAACAATGAAAATATGTTGTAAGAGCTGAATAATCATTAGCTCAAGGGTAAAAGTAATATAATTAAATATATGCATATAACATTGCCCTTCAAGGAGTAGAACTTGCTTGCTATTAAAAATACCAAGAATTAGACAAGCCCTTTAGCTGAAATTGTTATGTTTAGAACTAACTACTGTATATATTTAGTTTGCCCCATGACTGAGCATTCTGTAGCCTTGCAAGTATGACTAAAGGTTACAAAGTTAATAGAAACATTCCAGGTATTTTTCTGACAATGTTGGTCTTTAACACTCTGATTATTGTTTTAGAATAATACCTATTCTAGTCTATAAATCTTTAACTAGAAGGTAACACAAAGCTAGGCAGTTTGATGATCAACTGCAGTTATATCATTGCAAATTTATATTTGTTTATATTTCATACTTTTGAACCACCCATCTCCCTCAGAGATTTTATCACAGAGGTAAATAATTGAATAAAAATATGATGCCACTGTTCATTTCAGCAGTGACGGTTTTTGTAGTTACTGGCCAAACCAGGTAAATACAGCTTTTAGTATTTTCCCAACCTGACTGCATAGGCTTAGTTGAATACTAGCAGCTCTATTGTTTCATAGGCTTCCTTTTATCCTTCTGCAAATGAATACCTAAGTTTCATGATTGTGATGCAAACTCCAGGTGTAATAGGATAAAAATAGTAAATTGCATAACATTCCCCTTCATTGCCTCTTAACAAAAGATAATTTACCTTGAAAGCTCAATCAGGCTGAATAGGAGTCTTTCAGAAATTGTGTTTTTGAAGAAAACAGAAGCCATATCATTTATAACTATGGAATACGTAAAAAGTGGGGATGAAGCATTATGAACCTTTTCAATATTAAACTAGTTATTGCTGATTATTACATTGTTAAAATGACTTATACTTATAAAATGACAATTTTAGTAGCTCTTTGTCTTTAAAAATATCTTTCAAGACATGCAAGGTAGCATTTATAATTGGGTAGTAAATGGTTGTTCTGGAAGGCATTTGGGGATTGACCATAGATTGAATGTAGTTGTTACTTTTAAACTCATTATCTAAATTTTTAAATGTAAAGTTTATTCTTATTTCTGTCTTAATATCTGTAAACTTGCAGGGTCAATGAGAATTGAGGTAGTGGATAAATTGCATAAACAAACAAAGACTGTGAAATTAACCATAGAGGAAATGGTAGAATTTGAAATAAAATAATTGGTGGAATTATAGTTCACTAATTTATATATATAACACACACACACACACATGTATCATATTTTTCAGTAACATTACAAATAAAAGTAGTAAAATTGACTTGATTTGCTATTATCATCAGATGAAGTTCTAGCTGATATATACACAAAGAAATTGAAAGAGATCCAAGGTTTGACTTTGATATTGTGCCATAACAAACTATACAATATGGACGCCTATAAAGCTAATGGAATCTTGCAGAGTTTTAGTAGGTTTTTAAAATAGTAACTCTTTGAAAATACACAATGTGAGAAAAAAAACCCACTTTAACTTTGTGGTTAGTGTAAATATTGAATTTGTTACCAGAAGATTTATCTTATTTTAACCACAAGAATGCTTTTCATATTGTCAGAGGAAATGGTACTTTGTTTACCATTTCCTTCATTCAGTTCAATTTTATTTATTTACTGTAACAAAAGGGAACCTCAGTTTTTGAAAGAAGTGGAATACATGTTTCTTTATTAGCATAATGCTGCTTATGAGATTGTGTTCATTTTAAATTACTAACTATTGCATACTTCCATACCTGACATTGAACTATTTTTTGCATTGGAAGGGATGAATAACTTGCCATACCAAATGCTAAAAATATGTAGGGCTGCCCTTGGAAGCACAGGCAGCTAGGCATTTGTGTATAATGCCTCACCATAGCTGTATATCATCTCTGTTAAAATAGCTATACTTGCTGCTGATTTTCCATTGAACTAAGTTTAAGATATTGGTGTTAACTTATACTGCCTTAAAAACGTGAGGTCAGGATAATTCAAAGAACTCTTCAGTGGAGCCCCTCTTGGTTATTCCATATCAAGAATAACCAATGAGGAAGAATGCCTATTCTGCCACGGTCTCAATTCTGTGGAATGTTATATATTAGACCAGGCATGTCAAACTGCTGGCCCACAGGCTGAATGCGTCACACTGAAACCGCATCCATCCTATTGCCAGCAGTGGAGAAAAAGTCCCGATACATCGCGTGATGTCACATGACGTTGCAAGTTTGACATGCCTGTATTAGACCAATCAGTCTAACATCAATATCTGGGAAGATCCTGGAAAAGATAATCAAAAAACAGATCTGCGAACAACTAGAAGCAAACAAAGTTATAATGGTAGCCAGCACAGGTTTGTTAAAAACAGATCATGCCAAATCAATCTTATTTCATTCTTTGATAAAGTGACCAAATCGGTAGACCAGCAAAACACTGTGGACATAGTATATTTAGATTTCAGTAAGGCATTTGACAAAGTAGACCACAATCTACTGCTTGGTAAGCTAAAAAAAAGGTGGAATAGACAACATCACCACCAGATGGATTTGTAGCTGGCTGACAAACTGTACTCAACAAGTAGGCCTCAATGGTACTACATACACTTGGAGAGAAGTAAACAGTGGGATACCACAAGGCTCCGTCTTAGGCCCAATACTCTTCAATATCTTCATTAATGACTTAGATGAGGGAATAGAAGGGGAACTCATAAAATTTGCAGATGACACTAAACTGGCAGGAATAGCCAATAGTCCAAAAGACAAGCTTAGGATCCAAAAAGATCTTGACAAACTTGAACAATGGGCCCTATCCAAGTTTTACATTTAGGCAGGAAATATCAAAGATATAAGTACAGATTAGGCGAGACCTGGCTCAAAAACAGTAACTGTGAGAGGGACCTTGGAGTCCTAGTGGACGATCACTTGACTATGAGCCAGCAGTATGAAGCCGCCGCCAAAAAAGCTAATACAATCCTGGGTTGTATAAACAGAGGCATAAAATCAAGATCACACGAAGTATTAATACCACTTCATAATACCCTAGTTAGACCACACGTGGAATACTGCAATTAATTTTGGTCACCATACTACAAAAAAGAAGTTGAGAGTTTGGAAAAAATTCAGAGAAGAGCTACTAAGTGCCCCCCCCCCCGCAAAGATGAGAATATGTACAGGCAGCAGAGTTCAGGACCCCCAAAGGACAGAAATGGAGGGAAATAGAAGCGTGGGCGGAATTGAAGCAAAGGTAAGAGTGATAGGGTAGGAGAAACATATAAGGTCCTCGCCTAGTGGTGGCATGGTTCTCACCTAGTGACTGCAACCAGACTACTGGAACTGTTGTTGCTCAGTGATGTATTTGCATATTTCACCTAATGAGCTCTTTGCTTAATGATGGCAATTCTGGTCCTAATTAGGATTAAGCGAGGACTATCTATACCCAAAATTTTTACTAGTTTGACAGATAACTCAGAAGTATACTGAGTCAATCATTAAGTGAACCCATTATTTGCTTTGGGGTGTTTTTGCCAGAAATCAGAAGTAAATGCTGTTTCTTGGCAAAAAGATCATGAACCATGGGGGTGGGGTGGGGTGGCTGTTAGAAACGTTTTTGATGTATGGCATTTTGGAAACAGTAGAACACAGCTTCCCAGACCTGCAGGTTTTTAAAACTTACGTCTTGCTCTTTTTAATGACGTCCAACAGAAATATTCCTGCAACCCTCCAAAATGGAATAATTTGCTGCCCTTGGACAGAAAATGTTGCCCAATCTGCTTAATATATATGTGTCCATATATGTTCGGTTTTAATTCCTTCTGAGGAATGCAAGCAGTGTGTCTCTTCGGTATTAATGGTTTATTGGATTTTTAAAAATTGTTCAAAACAATAAATATATTTATCGTTCTATCTACTATATATATTTAGACAAGTTGATTTCATTTAGTTATAGGAATGATGATTAAGCTGGTTTGCTGTATAGATACTGTTTGTGTTTATTAATTAGCTTTTTATAATGTGTTTCAGTTAGTTGGTTTTTAAACATGCACTTACTAATAGCTGATTGGCACTCTGTAAAAAGACAGGAATATACTGTACTTGATAGATAATGTAATGTATAAGGCAATATCTGTAAATGGGGATGGGAGGGGGGCGGGGGTTAGGCCTTTTAGATTGTGGGTTTTTAATATTGTAAGTTACCCGGAGTCACCATGTGTGAGTTGGGCAGCCCTATACATTTGCCTAATGAATAAATGAATATAAAGCTTGGGTCAGCACAGTGCCAGGTTATGTTAGGGATCGCTTTACTAAAACCATTCTATTCATCATGTAAAAATATCAAGAGAGCACTTCCTCAAGATTTTTTCACTGTAAGAAGCAAAAGAGAGCTGGTCAGAAGGAAGATCTTTTCTGTAGTTGCTTTAATATCAGGGGGATGGATCAGTGAAGGTAGGTGATTGGGTGTTAAAAAAGTCAAGGTCACAGACACAACTGTGTAGTCAAAGAGCTGCCCTTTTGTGCATTAAGCACAAAAAAAAGCTAATAAAAAAGCTGCCCTGAGAAAAAAAGTTCTTTTTAAGCAGGCATTTAGGTTTTTAGAGACTGGGCAGAATTTTTTTTTTACCTATGTTATGTTAGTCTGAGGGTATTGTGGTTTTTACTGGTTTGTTTACATATGCATTATAATTAACCACAGAGTCAGTTTTTGTAAATGATAAACAAATGATAATTACATAAAATAAATACAATTATTAAAAGTGTTGAAAATACTTTTTTTTTTAAAAAAGGAATGAAATTAGTAACTAAACAATTATTATTCTTTTGTATGCCACAGGTTTTTAAAGCAGTTTCTCAGATGGATCAGCTCAGAGGAACATTTCACCAAGATGCCTGAGACTATGGAATAAACAGAATAATACTTATGGAATTAAAATTACTGTATATATTAAATTGTTCTGGTTCAACAAGACCTGAAAGGTTACTTTATCATATTATTAATTTACATATTTACTGAAATTTGCTTCTGATGCAGCTAAGAAAAATGCAGTCCATTAAAACAGAAGAGGCATCTGCTGATACAAGTGGCAACATGGACAAAATTATGGTTCTTAATTCTACACTGACTGATGTATCAGATGACTTAGCTACTGGTGATGAAATGTTACTTGCAGAAGGATCCATTATAAAAAACAAGTCTTCAGCATGCAGGAGAAAGCGGGAATTCATTCCAGATGAAAAGAAAGATGCGATGTACTGGGAAAAACGGCGGAAAAATAACGAAGCTGCCAAAAGGTCCAGGGAAAAGCGGCGACTGAATGATCTTGTTTTAGAGAACAAGCTAATTGCACTGGGAGAAGAAAATGCCACTTTAAAAGCTGAGTTACTTTCACTGAAGTTAAAATTTGGTTTAATAAGCTCTTCTGCATATGCCCAAGAGATTCAGAAGGTCAACAATTCAACAGTTCTTTATTTTCAAGAATATCAGAATTCCAAATCAAGCGTTAATACTTTCATCGATGAACATGAGCCAACTATTGTAAGCAGTAGTTGTATATCTGTCATTAAGCACTCACCACAAAGCTCTTTATCTGATGTATCTGAAGTGTCCTCAGTAGAGCATACTCAAGCAAGCCCCATACAAAACCATTGCAGAAATACTGATGATAAATTCCAAATCATAAAGCAGGAACCTATGGAATTAGAAAACTATGCAAGAGATTCACGAGACGAAAGAGGGTCCTTTACAACTTCAATATATCCAGGCTTCATGGGAAGCCATTTTAATGGCTATTCACATTCCCCTCCACTGTTGCAAGCAAACAGGTCCTCCAGCAATTCTCCAAGGACTTCAGAAACTGATGAGGGTGTTGTGGGAAAGTCATCAGATGGAGAAGATGAGCAGCAGGTTCCTAAAGGTCCAATCCATTCTCCCGTTGAACTTAAAAATACTAATGCCGTAGTTAAGGTTCCAGAGGTAAGCTCTTCTGCACTTCCTCATAAACTGAGAATTAAGGCAAAGGCCATGCAAGTCAAAGTGGAAACATTGGACAATGAATACGATGCCACACAGAAACGACTGTCACCTATTGATATGTCATCTAAAAGACATTTTGACCTTGAAAAGCATAATGCACAAAATTTAGTACATAATACTCACACTCCTTTCTCAATTCAAGTGACTAATATCCAAGACTGGTCTCTGAAACCAGAACACTGGCACCATCAAAAAGAACTGACTGAAAAATCTCAGAGTGGTGGCAAAACTGCAGGGCTTGATGTTAAAGACAATTCCTACAAAGTCTCTGAGACAGAAAACTTGTACTTGAAACAGGGCGTAGCAAATTTGTCTGCAGAGGTTGCTTCACTTAAGAGACTTATAACTACACAACACATCTCTGCTTCAGACTCTAGCTAAATGACTACTGAGTAATTATTATTTTAAAGGATGTCATTTGCAGTAGATTGGTATGTTTTGTATTACGCTGAATTTTCACTGGACTTGGAATGTCATTTCACTGTAAGGTTCACATAATGTCTGATGGATGATGTGTTTTTGTGCACAGATGACTGTGGAGATGAGATTGTCAAAATCACTAGCCTTGTGTATGGTGAAGATGCCTATGTACATGCTGTATATATAGTGAACATTATTTTTCTGTCATTCTGTTACTATAAAGTGTGAAAGTTGCCAGTTCCAATAAAAAATTGGTGACAAGCACAAACTGTAAATTGTCAAATCACTTTCAGTCAGGATTTTGTTTTAAGTTCACCACAGTTACGAGACAGACTGTATCTCCATTTTCTTACAATATATTCATTATAGGGATGGGTGTCATTCTCGTCCCCATCACTTCTTATCCTTGTTTTTCATGCCAATTTGCATGTCAAGAACAAAAATAAAAACCAGATGCTGGGAGACAATTGATAATTAGATATTATGATAATATCTAATGAACGAATCAGAAAACAAAAACACTTGCGAAAGACAATACATTTTTACTGACTTACGCCCCTTGCATTTTAGACTAATATTTATTTATTTATTATGGATGCCCATCTCATAATGCTTAAAAGCAAGATAAACTGAGAAAAACCAACCATCAACAACAATTAGCACATGATACAAATACAGTTACATCTGGGACCCCCAGTCTCAGTAATAAAATCGTGCTTTCAAGGCATTACAAAAGGTAAGCAGGATCAGGGCAAGTCTGATGTCTAGAATGATGTTCCAAAGGGAGGATGCCATGACAAGAAAGCTTGGGTCTTGCCAGATGACACTAGTAGATGGTACCTGGAGCATGCAGCTTCTTCCTGATCCAACTGGACAGGTAGATACAACCAGGGAGAGACACTCCTGCCATAACCTGAAAGCATACTGACAAACAATACAGAGCAGAGGCATCACAGGCTCTAAAAGACAAGAACCCATAATTGTCTGTGCTGCTTCATTTTGCACTAGCTGAATATTCCAAATACTCTTCAATGGCAGCCCCACATAGAGCATATTGCAGTAGGCCAAATGAGAGGTGACGTAAGGCATGAGTGTCCACGAGCAAGTCATAATGGTCTGGGAATGGAGCAATTGATGCACAACATGTAACTAAAGGTCCTCCTAGAAAGCTTCTACCTGATCTAGCAGGAACTGGGAAGCCAGGAGAACCCCCAATTTGTAACCCCATCAATAACTACACATGGAAGGCCCCTAGAACAATAGGTCCTAAAACCCAAACCCATTAGTTCTTGCTAGGTTTTAGCTGATGATAGTTGTTCTACGGTCAAAACCCCCACAATTTCCAGACACCAAGACAAGATTTCTATCACATTATGCAGGTAGTCTGGTCTGTAGATAAAAAGCTACTCATGATATCTCAACCTAAACTGTCAGATGACCTCACCTACAAGCTTAATGTAGATGTTTCTTTGTTTTAATAATGTTGTGAGCCGCCCTGAGTCCTTCGGGAGAAGGGCGGGATACAAATTGGAATAATAAATAAATAAATAAGAGTGGATAGAATTTGGAAGCCTGCTACGCTCCACAAAGCAGAGCCCGTGGATTGGACCTTCCCCCATATCAATTTATATTTAATTAATATTAGAAAACATAAAGACTAAAGTGATATACAGATATGGGAAAACTTGTATTTTCCTTTTTTCTTCACAGGCTTGTGATACACAGGAAAAAGTCAAAAACTGTCTTAGCAAATTAGCATAACAATGTATTGATTTGGATACTGCCAATTTGTTTTGATGTCTTTTAATCCCAATCTTTTCCCAGAGGATATGTTATAAGTGCAATCTGTTGCAAAACAGACATTCAAAAACTTTAGAATAACAAAAAATAGATTAGATCTTGTGGCACTCACAAATGATGATGTATATGATAACATCATGATAACATCACACTTCATATCTATAAGGTTCTCTGCCCCATAAAATATAGTCTATATTATTTCATTTAAATAATAGAGGAAAGAATATTGCAAAGAAAAGTCTCAGTCCCAATATAAATTGTTTTTCCAATAGTCCTCTATATCATACTGGTACAAGTATTTTTTTGATCTCCCCAGAAAAAAATAGAGAGTTAAGATGAAATGGTAGAAAACATCTTGGCATGTCAGAAGGATGGCAAAAAATAATCTTGTAAATCTGATGAACTGGTATTCTGTAACTGCCCATGCCCATCATGGCCTTCATTTTATGCCCAAGACCTCAGATTCGCAGGAGCCTTTCAAAAAGTTTGGAAATTTTCCTATACAAAGAAATTAGACATAAAATATTCTTATCGTCTATATGTACCATGATGAAACTTTGATTTAGTAGAATTTGTACAATGTACTTTGGGTGCAATGTAGAAAACCTTAGTTGTATTTAATCATTTGCATAATAACTTCACTGTATGATATAGTGGAGACAATTGTGAATAATGGATGTCATTTCCCCCCATATTAAAAATTTCACAGAAAAAAATGATTTTTTTAAAAAACCAATGGAACAGGTGTATTTTTGCAGTCTTCAGTGGATCTTAACAGCTTATTAAAATACTTTCTAATATTGCAAATAACTTTTCATCTGCCACTAAGAATTTTGCATTCATAGGACTCCAATAAAGCTTTGCATTCAGGATTCCAGTAAAGCTTAATTAACACTTTAGATTTCCTTTCTGGATGTGTTTATTGACAAATCTGTTGTCTCCTTTGTACAAATGATTGCCTTCTGGAACTACTCTTTGTTTTATGGTCTGTTGTCAGCAAGTGTCAGTAAGAACTTAATTTCTATACAAAATGGATTGTAACTTTAAAGGCCATTTTTTTTCAATATAAGCCTAGAAGACAATAATTTATGTCCATACTAAGATCTCTTTTGAGTCAAGTTTGATTCTGGTAAATTCATGGATAAGTCTATGAATTTTATTGGCAACAATATGGAAGTAATTTGTCACTGTCTTCTCCCAGGCCTTTTTTAAAAACAACTTTTCAATATAGTCTAGAGAGACAGGCATTTCCTGATGCTCTCCCATTCAAGTACTACCTGGGTCTGACCCTGCTTAGCTTGAAATCATTCAAAGATGGCCAAATGTCATATGATCTATTCTTAGGTGATCTGCAATTATTTCTCCAATAGAGACCTCAATGCAGACAATCAACTTTGGAATGCCCTATCATAACTGCCTGAATTTTCAAATAATTTTGTCTATTACAGGAGATATGAAAAATTACTTTTCTAGTCAATCCTTTTTATTATATTAAAAGAACATGATTGCCAGTCAAGCATTCAATCTGATCAGTTAATTGCAATTAATTGACCACAAATACACATTCCTCAGAACCCAGTCCCTGTGAGAATATACATTATACTGTACATTAAAAAGTGACTTGTATTCATTGCTAATCATGTATATATAGATGATCCTCAGATTACAATGGTAATTGGGACCAGAATATTTGTCACTGAGTGATGTCACATTGCTTGGTAACAGCAATCCCGGCAGTCTCCATTGCTATCATTAAGTGAGAATCGTGGGTTACTACGTGAGGGCTGAAGACTTTCTTCTGGCTTCCCGATTGATTTTGCTTGTTGGAAGCCAGAAAGAAATCACAAGGAGGACCTAGACTGGGGTCGCTTCTGCTGTGAGTGGTAGAGCGCCCAAGCCTCTGCCATGGCCCAATATGAAGCCCCAGCTAGATCAGGAGCATAGACTGAAGCTAGAGCCTCCCTGTACTCTGAGACCCCTGTTACCCTAGCTGACCTTCACTGTCCTCTTGTCCCCTACTACTGACAAGGCATGCCTGGCCAGGCCTAGCACTTCACGAAGCAGCTACTGACCACCAAGGCCTTCTTTATGAGGTCTCATGAATCCACAGGGCCAAAAGGGCAGACATAAAGGGGAGATAGCTAGGTGGGGGTTGTTGAAGCACACCCTATAGCTGTAAATGCAGACAAGCTGCCAAGAACCTGAATTTTGACCATAGAGCAGAGGTCCCCAATCTTTTGGGCACCAGGGACCAGTTACGTGGAGAGATTTTTCCACGGACCAGAGGGGGCGTGGTTTTGTGTGCTGCCTGCATCCCACAGATGGGGCTTTGCTTGTTTGTGCAGCCCAGTTGCTGGCATACCGCGGCCTGGTACCGGTTCATGGACTGGGGGTTGGGGACCCCTGCCGTAGAGGTATCCAGTGGTCATAACTTTGAAGACCAGGCACAAGTACCATTCGTTCAGTGCCATAACTTCAAACACAGAATAAACAGTCATTAAGGACTACCTCTATTCTGTATCTCATACCCAGTGGAGCCTGCTCTCTAGTTTTTATAAATTCTCTAGAGCACTATACTAAACTTTCAATTTTGTTACTACTAATGATGGTTATTGAACATTTTGAAACTTATTTTATCTTAGCAACTTTCCCATTCTTTTCTCTTCATTTATATCAAGGCTTTTGTTTTACCAAATATAATATTCTTATTGTTTGAAGATCTGTATGAATAATCTTCACTAACAATTAAATTGTTCTTTCTTTCTTAAAACCTTGCTTATTTCTGTGTTTCAAAAAATCACATTACAGCTGTTCCTCAATTTACATTTGCTGATGCAGAAATGATTATTTTAGGTACTGCATCCATGTTCACTATGAGATAACTATTATATCATGTTGTTTTCATCAGTGAATGAATGAATGAATATGTGATACCTAACATCTATCTCCTCATATTCCTTCAGACTCAAGGAATTTAATCAAGTAAGCTTAATTTACGGATAAGACTCAAACCTTTCTGAAATTCAGTTTTAGTTAATAATGAATTAAATTGGCTTACATCCTATTGATGTCTAAGAACAGAAAAACAATAAGGACAAAAATAGCTGCCATAATGATGTTATTATAAATTACATCATCCTGGTTGCTGGATATTGTAGGTACCCTGGATTAGAGAAAAATCCTTTTGTCCAGGTTCTAATTATTGATATTTAAATAAGAGTACAATGAAATGGAGCAGCATAGAGGGATTTGTAATGGGTGTTTTTTAGATTTCACTGGGGTTTTTTTTAGCTCTGGATATGTTAGCAAAAGGCTGAAAGAGAAGTCTTTTTTCTGGCAAGCTCTGTAAACATAACTGGGCATGCATTAGATCTGAACTATTAAACTGTTTTAAGCTTGCATTAAAAATAATTACCGTATATAGCCCTCTGCTCAAATCAGTTCATTTTAGATAAGCCTATTCT